TCTGGATGGTGAAAAAGGAAAGATAAGGGATTTACGAGACGTACTTGATCGATCTATGTAAAGAAGAGGAGGTTGCCATAATTTTTCGATGCCGAACAAGTTAATAATATAGAAATAGTTGAAGAATTGTGAACGAGGATGTCAATGATAATGAAACAGTGGAGTTAGTAAATCCAACTGTAGATGGCTGCCAAGATACAATAACAATCAAGGATGGAGGTGACAATGATGCACAAGTTGAACAAGTGCTGAGTGAGCAAGTAAGTGATGATCCAATCAAATGGGACAAACTTGATGTAAAGACGAGAGACTTTTTGGTAGAACGAGGCCCTATAAGAGATTTGGATGATGATTTCGAGTACCCTCTTGACAATTCTTGTAGACATTTCTCTTCTACTCATTACGTCCGACAATTTCCAAATGGAGAGAGACACAAGAGAAAGTGGTCAATTTATTCCAAAATTGCTGATAAGGTCTTTTGTTTTTGCTGCAAATTGTTCAAGAGAGTCAAATAATACTCAATTAGCGACCACTGGTTTTAAGGATTGGAAAAATCTTGCTCATAGACTACATAGTCATGGAGGCAACAGCGAACATATTATTTGTATGAGTAAGTGGATCGAATTGGAGATGCGGCTAAAGAAAAATGAAACAATTGATAAAGGTTTGCAAGAGCAAATTAATAGAGAGAAAGATTATTGGCGGCAAGTATTGGTTCGAATAATTGCACTTGTGAGAACTCTTGCACAACAAAATTTGGCATTTAGAGGGGACAATGAAACACTTCATAAAGATGGAAATGGAAATTTTTTGAAGTTCATTGAAATGGTTGCAATGTTTGATCCCATAATGCAAGAGCATGTTCGAAGAATTGAAACAAAAGAGATTCATTACCATTATCTCGGTAACAAGATTCAAAATGAATTGATTAATTTATTGGCTGGTGAAGTCAAGAGGGCTATCGTAGAAAAAATAAAAAAAGCAAAATACTTCTCTGTTATACTTGATTGTACGCCTGATGTAAGCCATAAAGAGCAAATGACTCTTGTGATACGATGTGTGGACGTTACTGTAAGCCCAATAAAAGTTGAGGAGTTTTTCTTGGAGTTTCTGAAAGTGGATGATACAACATGACTTGGTCTTTTTAGTGAACTAGAAGAGGTATTAGATACTCTTGAGCTAGACATCAATGATATAAGAGGGCAAGGTTATGACAATGGGTCGAATATGAAGGGAAAACACAAAGGTGTACAAAAGAGATTACTTGATCGAAATCCAAGAGCTTTCTACATGCCATGTGGTTGTCATAGTCTAAATCTTGCACTTTGTGATATGGCCAGCTGTTGTCTCAAAGGTAAAAACTTTTTTGGGGTTATTCAACGAATATATTGCTTATTTTCTGCTTCAACAAAACGGTGGGATATCATGAAGGCTAATGTTATTGGTCTTACTCTTAAACCATTATCCCAAACACGATGGGAAAGTCGTATTGAAAGTGTGAAACCATTGCTACGACAAACCGAAGGAGTTAGAAATGCTTTACTTGAGTTGGCACAAAGCGATGAAGATGGAACAATAACTAGTGAAGCTGAAGGTTTGATCATAAATGAATTCGAAAACTTTGATTTCTTGATGAGTTTGGTTATTTGGTATGATTTACTATTTTTTGTGAATAGTGTCAGTAAAACACTTCAAAATGAAGACATGCATATGGATGAAGCTTTGCGGCAGTTGAAAGGACTCATCATTCTTTTTGAAGAGTACAGAGAAACAGGTTTTGAGAAAGCTAAAAAATAAGCTCAACTTATTGCCACCAAATTGGGTGTTCAACCCGTATTTCGGACGAGACGGGTAATTAAAAGAAAAAGGCAATTTGACGAGAATGAGAATGAATACACACCCCAGTCAGCAGAAGAAACCTTTAGAGTTGAATTTTTCATGTTTGTTATGGATCAAGCTCTTACTTCATTGAGACAGAGATTTGAAGATTTTCAAAAGTTTGAAGGACAATTTGGATTTTTGTTAGATTTAAAGAAGTGGAAATTGGTAGACGATGAATGTCTGAAGGCTTCTTGTGTTAAGCTTCAATGCTTTTTGAAAAACGATATGGAATCTGATATTGACGGGGAAGATTTATTTAATGAACTAAGAGTGTTGAGAGAAATTCTACCGGAAGAAGCAGAAACGGCAATTGGAGTGTTGAATTACTTGAAAGCGATGAATGGGAGTTTTCCGAATGCATGGGTTGCTTATAGGATACTATTGACTATACCCGTCACAGTTGCCGCTGCAAAAAGAAGTTTCTCAAAATTGAATTTAATCAAGTCTTACCTCCGATCAACCATGAGTCAAGAAAGACTAAATGGATTAGCTATGTTATCCATTGAAAAAGATTTGACAGAAAAACTTGATTTCAGTAGTTTGATTAGTAATTTTGCAGCTCAGAAAGCAAGAAGAGTTATTTTTCAGTGACACCGGAATGTGTTTCGAGATTATTTATTAGTTTTTTTTTTTTTTTGGGACTACAAGTATTTAGTACTTATTTTAATGTTAATATCTTGTCACTAAAAATATAGCATGCATTCATTTTTATATTAATTTAGCTAAATATACAAGGCCCCGTTTCGACTCCCTTCACAAAGTTCGCCTTGGGCCCGCAAAATCCCAGGAACGGGCCTGTATGGAACAAGAAAAATTAATACCCGAACATCCTTGAGATTTTGGATGCGAAATAAATCAGGCAATTCCTGTGTGATTAGATTCTCCAAGAATGTAAATAATTGCTTCTGTTTAGCAATTATTTGTTCAGTTTATTGGGCTAATATTTATTGGGTTAACCAATGATTTGCTTACTTTATTGGGCTAATATTTATTGGGCTCGTCTACTCTTTATTGGGCTAATATTTGTTATATAAATAAAATTAAAATTTTGGTTTTAGCAACAATTTGGATTTTTTTTAAATGGCTTCGGCATAAGTATGACTGAAATTGAGTTGGATCGGTCCATTATCGACCTTAAAACGAATGTTTGAAGACCAACTTTCGTCAAATTTTATTGCCACTTCAACTTTTGGGGTCGTTTGATGGTCGCCGATAGAATATTTGATTTCGAAATGGTCGCTTAATAGGTAGTGTAGATTTTTTTTTTTAAAGAAGTGGTAGGATTCAAAACATGTCTAACATGGCCCACGTGTTAGACATGATAAAACAAAGATTATTGTCACTAAACACGTGTCATTGACATGAAAATCTTGTCATTATTGCAGGGTAAACTACAGCCACCCTTTCGATAATGTCAAATTAAAAACAATAACTTATGTTTGTGTAATTACAATCACTTCTCTACTAAACAAGTGTCATCGACAAAAAAAATATTTTCATTATTGAAAGGGTAAATTACGGACATCCTTAAAGTAAGATCAAATTACGAAAAAAAATCCTTATGTTTGAATAATTACAACCAACCATCACGTATGAATTTTTTTACACGTCCCACCCTTGTAGTGTCAAATAAGTATAATCTTCTAGATTATATGGAATATTCTCCAGTTTGTGTCCGATTTACCCCAATCGAGCTTCATATTTTGAAGCAAGATGATCATAAGATGCGTCTCTTGGCTTGTAAATATCAGATTATGTCGCATCAGAAACTGCATTATTGCACAAAACTAGTACAAGCTAGAGAACATTCCACGCAATCTAGAATATTACGTTGAATTTAACATCATAAGGGCAGACATATCAAAAAAAATCATAATTGAGAGATAATTATAATTACCCAAACACGAGATATGTTTTCATAATTTAATCTTACCTCAGCGGTAACGTAATTTACGCCGGTATAATTATTCATCATAAGTATATTTTATTACTTATTAATCATGAACTCCAAGTACAAAGGACAAACCAAAAAAAAAAAAACCCGAAACCGATCTCACACAAGACAACTTTATTAACCAACTCCCACCGTCGATTTTCCGTCGCCGCCGGCTGCCGCTGCTGCCGTCGTCGTCAGTAAGAAGCATGAAGATTAGAAAGATCCTCAGAGTTCAAATTGGTATAAACATCATCAATAAACCACCTCATATCATTATACAGCTGCTGCGCCGCCGACTTATTCTGCAGCTCGATCCCGTGAAACCCGCCGGTGTTGAACCGGTAATAAACCGGCACCTTACAAGACTGCAAGAACTTCCCCAACAGAATCGACCGGTCAACTAACGGGTCGCCGTAGTCGCCCTTGATGTACACCTTCGGCAGCCGGTAAACCCGGCCGAGGTAGGTCCCGCCGGAGATCGGATTGCAGAACTCGTGGTCCCGGTTAAAGTTTAACGGCAGAGCTAACGACCAGAGAACGTCGTTAACGTACAGTGCCACGTAGGGATCGTCTTTCAGGTTGATCTCCGATTGGGTTCTTTGTACGCCGCCGAAGTAGGCTTGGTTCATGAGTAGGCCTTTGATTTGGAGTGGCCGGAGATCGAAATCGAGTGCCCGGAGTGCCACGTGGTACGCGATGTTGGCGCCGGCGCTGCTGCCGAGGATGAAGACTCTTGAGAAGTCGGCGAACTCCATCCATGGGTCCCGCCCACCTACTCCCTGTTATTTAATTTTAAATTAAAAAAATTAAACATAACTAAATTATTTGGTAAATTTCACCTAGACCCCTGAGGTATGCTAAAATAACTTTAAGATCCCTTTAGTATTGGTTATTAAAATTAACCCCTAAAACATTGTCAGAAACCTTAAATCTAATATACATTCCGATTTATGCAGTTTTCAAAAATTAAAATCATATCAAAATCTGAAATCTAATATACATTCCGATTTTGATTAAAAGAATAAGGGAACAAAACGGGATCGGAGGAGATCGGATTTCATTCCAATTTCTACTCCTAATAGTATTCAATACCTCTATGTATTTACTCCAATAGAAACTCTATATTTAGATGGTTTTATGTTTCAAAAGAAAAAAAAAATATAGAGGGTTTTTTGCCAATCTTTAATTACATGAGGACTGTTTTAGCAATATGATAAAAAAAAAGCTACTAAAATTCAATTAACACAACAAAAACCAAAATGAAGATCAACTAATTTAGTACCTTAGCCTGGTTCTGAACCCAGAAGATGGCGTTGAGGGCGTCGTCGAAGGCGGCGGGGAGTTTGTTCTCCGGCGCGAGTCGGTACTCGACGGAGACGACGACGGCGGGAAAGAACTCGGCGATGTCGTTGCAGAAGTTGTGGAAGATGACGGTGGAAGCGCTGAAGAGGACGAAGTCGCCGCCGTGGAGGTAGACGACGAGCGGCAGCGTCTTGTTCTTTGGCGGGTTCGCCGGCACGTAGAGGCGGACGGTGGCTTTGCTCTTGGAGCTGAGCTGGATGTCCTGGGAGAGGACCGTCGGAGATGGGGTGGCGGAATCCTCGTACGGGGTGGGGTCCACCATCGGAATCTGGATGGTCCTGTTTAGGGTTCCGTCGCGGTTCCATGCTATGCCGAGGGCTTTGAAGGCCTCCTGCCACGTGTGCGTCTGTGATTGGGCGTGCTGCCATTGTTGCGAAGCAACAATCAAGAAGATTATGAGAAGGATTTGATTGGCTAATAATTTAGCCATTTTCTTATTTTTTTTTTTTGAATGTGATGTGTTTTTTTTGAAGTTTGTTCTAAGATTTGAGGGATTTATAAAGAGGGGGATGGGGCATGCAATTCACGTGAGTTAAACTTTTTGAATTATATTTGAGTTTGGTCTCATAAGCAATAGAGTTGATTGAGCTCGAGTGTGTCTGTTTTTAATACAAATTATTTAAAATAAAATTATCACTAATCGGGACCCACTGGAGCTAGGTTTCATAATTTTTCGAAGAAATGAAAATGTGTGTTCACAATTGGTTCGTTATATTAACAACCTGAATTCAAACAAGATGTGTGCAGTTTGTACGAATCGAGTCGAGACGAACGCATGTTTGTTTTATTTCTTATAATGAGCTAACTTTCGAAATTATATTTGAGTTTGTTTTGATAATCGATAGAGTTGATCGAGCTCAAAGAGGTTTATTTATGCGGAATAGGGTGTGTAAGCGAATGGAGTTGAGACGAACGCACATTTGCACAAGTGCTTGATTTTTTTTCCCCTTGTTTTAAAAGTTGCGTTTGAGTTTGCTCTCATAAGCAAAAAGTCGATCTCCAGTAGGGTTTTTTTTCGTACATATTTAATTTTCTTCTGATCGAGCTCGAATGTTAGTCGAGTTTCGTAACACACATCATTAAAAAATATGTGTTCAGACTTGGTTCGTCATATCAAAACAGAATTCATATCACATTTTCGAGTAACTTTGGTTTAGTTTTTTAGTTACATGAAAAAAGTCATGAATAGTACGTAGTAATTAATTTGGCCAACTACTTAGTACGAGTGATCAATTTCGAAATTTAAATTTAATTGTACGTGACATATATATGGACCTAACCCTACATTTGTCTACATTATTACACTTATAATTAACTACATATAAGTGAATAAAATTAGGACAATAATATATCCTTTATTGCATTCATACAATAGTCATCATTTTGTATATGAAACAATATATGCTTGTAAAATAGGATGAAACTTAATATGAAACTTTTTTTTTATAATTACTTTTTGGAATATTATTTTATAAATCTGTGCTTTTTACACTCCCCCACCCCCCAAATTTTATAAGTTTTCTATTCTATTATCTAAGTTCATATTTCTTTGGGGCAAATTACGGCCACCACCCTGAATTATGGTCAAATTACGAAAACTCCATTCTTGTTCGGCTAATTACAGCCACCTCAGTCAACTATGTATTATTTTACAAGAGACCCCTTCAGAGGTAAATTTAAGGATGTTAATTCGGTAATACCGAACTGAAATTTCCATAAGGCAATATTTCATAACGTTTACTGAACTAAATATACGATTTGGTTCGGTAAATAAGTGAATTACATAAATTTTATGTAAAAATATATAAAACAAGGGGTTGGCTGTAATTACCCAAACAAAAGGGATTTTTTCGTAATTTGACCACACCTTCAGGGTGGCCGTAATTTACCCTATTTTTTTTTCTATTAGTTATTAGAATATAAAATAATACTAATATTTTTTTTAATTTTTAATAGAAAAAATATAAATATATATACATATTTAGCAACTTTTTTTGTGGGGACGTGTACTAAATGAAAATCACATGGAGAGCACATTATATATATAATAATTATTTATTTTATTTTATGTTTTATTTTATTTTATAATTATTGATGCCAGCTAATATCATGCACGCCATTGGTATCTCAATTATAAGAGAATAATTAAAAGGTGGGCCCAAAACTCTTTAATTTTATGAAATTGTCCATATTAAGTGAAATAATATATGTTTCTCCCCTTTCTTCCCATATAAATACAAATATGAAATTTACCAATGTCGGAGAAAATTATTTACGCCAACTAAAACCTCTGAAAAATGAAAATTATTTATTTGGTATTATCGATAATTGGTTACGGAGGGACCATTTCGTTAACTAACCTAATTAGTTGGCCGAGCAGGAAAGCAAGTGTCTAACGATCCAAATTCGATATGTTATGTCGACACTTTAATTTTGTAGGTGGAATTCAAAATTCAAGTTTTTTAATGGGTTATTTAGGAATATATTTACGTTCCAGACGAGACTATAATCATCGTGCGTCCAATTCATGTCCAAAAAAACGACGACGAAATTACAAATCTAATAAATTCATGTTATTTATTTATTAACGATGGGAAACTTTAGATAAAAATAATATTTTGTCAATTATATTTTTATTTTTTATATAAAATATATTGCATTTACTAAAAATTGTGATTTATTTATCATTTTATTTATTAAAAGGGTAAATTACAACGACCCCTGAAGTATGGTCAAATTACAAAAAACCCCCTCTTGTTTGGGTAATTACAACCACCCCTCAACTACAAAACTACTTACACGTCCACCCTTGCGGTTTCAAATTTAGTGGAATCTTCGAGATTATTTGGAATATTATCACTTTTAATTTGTACCCGTTTTATGCCATTCGAACTCCACATTTTGAAGCAAGGTGATCATAATATGTGTTTTTCGGCTTGTATATATCAGATTGTGGTGCATCAGGAACTCTATTTTTACGCAAAACGAGTACAGACTAGAGCACATTCCACGAAATCTAGATGGTTATGTTGAATTTGACACCATAAGGGTGGAGGTGCAAGACAAAATCATAGTTGAAGGGTAGATGTAATTATCCAAACAAGAGGGGTTTTTCATAAATTGACCACACCTCATGGGGTTGGTTGTAATTTACCCTTATTAAAATCACAAACGACTAATAAAAAGGTAATATCGCAATTCCCAGCCCAAGAGGCTAACAATTATTGGGTTGGTTGTTGATAAAGCATTAATATTTGTGGGCCCAACTTACTTTTATTCTTCACGATATGTTTCCACGTGGCCCATGTAAAACGATTGTGTGGGGCCCACCACTACAGTTTGTCATACTCAATGTTTCATCTTAAAGAAGAAAATAAAACGAGGAGGATTTTTTAGGTCGGGTTCTAAAATATTTGGATGTGTGAAAAAATCAAGAATTCTTTGAACCAATTAATGAGAAGAAAATGATCATTTGGTCGTGTGTTTTCGTCGATCTGTCCTTAGTCGCATGACTTAGTACGCGGTTACGTTTTTCTGTAATAATTATCTCTATGGTCCATTGGAGATGTTCTTTGAAGAAGAGCTTCTCGCTGGAATTAAGGTTTTCAAGAGATAATTATTGAAGAAAACGTGCATCTCTAGTATATATTTTTGTATATATTTTTCTGAACGACTTCTTCACGGGACCTATATATAAGGTTAGAGTTTTCAAAGTCCACCGTTGGTAGGTCTTTCATATTCCTTAGTTATGGGACATATTTTCCTTAAAGAACGAGATTATTCGAAATTCCAACTCGATGGACTATTTTCATGTCACGAGATCGGTCTCACGATGTTCGTATCTTTGAACAACGTGCCTTTCAAGCTAAGGAATCTTCTAGATAAGATTACTTCTAAACGCCTCCTTTAGAATTATTGTTCGAAACAGAGCTTTAAATTAGACTTGACATGTTTTGTGATCCAGCTCGACCATGAATTTGGTCCATTTGCCAAATTCACCCCATCAGTCCCCTATTTTCTCTCTCCTTCCCCTAAAATTTTGTGAATTGTGGAGTTACTACTAGCAATTTAGGTTTACAATGTCAATTTTTATGGACACAAATCAAATTAGTCGAACGAAATTTGAATATTAAATTCGAAAATGTTCGACATATATATATATATATATATATATATATATATATATATATATATATATATATATATATATATATATATATATATATGATTGTATATTTTCCAAGAAACCTATATAAAGATTGTTGGGAACGAATCTATATAATAACTATTCACAATTTCTTTCAAAATAATTGAATTTTGAGAGGTCTACATCTTATACCAAACATATCTCCATACAATCCACATCCTGCAAAATTGTGTGATATTAAATACCAGTTGAGCTGGCATATTGATTTTGTTCTAGAACTACTTTTCTATTGATTGATTGCTTTTCTTTTTCTTTTTCTCTTTTTCCTTTTTTTTCAATTAAAGATCGAAAGAGGAAGAACAGAAATTATGCCACGCCAATCGACAACATTATATACAATATAGATGATTCATGATACATCCTTACAATTAAAATAAAGTTGATTAGACGTGAAAATAACTTTGACAAATTACAAAAAAACCATCCGTCCAGTATATAAATTTAACCCCTTAAAAATAAATGTTTAAGAAAATACATAATTGATGAGTAGTTGTAAAACTCAAAAATAAAGAATTTTTCATAATTTAATTTTACTTTAGTGGGTGGTCGTAATTTGCCCGAACAACTTTCATCAGAAAAAGAAAAAAAAAAAAAAACTTGCATTGGAACCAAATTAAATAGTGGTGAAAATAACTTTCGAAAAATACTAATTTAGGAGAAAAAGGATAACATAGGTCTATTACATGCCACCTGGATAATAATTAATAATCCACTATTCATTCCACCGAGAAAAACACACACACCCGTACGGGTGCGTGCGTGTGGACGGCAAAAATACCAAAAAAATTCCACGTCGACAAATAATCAACTCGACTTGGTCTTCACACTTCCGTTCTCATGGACGGGGGTGGAGGAGCCGCTCCGGCGGGACCCGCCGGAGTGGTGGCCGGTGATGGTACGGCCCATGAACTTCCCGGCTTTACTCAATCCACTACCGACGGCTCCAAATCCGGTGCCGACGAAGCCAACTCCGGCACCGATGCCGCTGCCGACCATACCGACGCCGGAGCCAACTGCAGAGGCGGCTCCGTCTAGGGCTTCAACGGTGCTTCCTATTACTCCGGCTTCTTTTAGTTTCTTTCTTTCTTCGAATATTCTCTTCTCTTCTTCTAGAGCAAACAATTGCTCTTCCTTCAAGAATTCGTGATAAAACACCTACACCCATAACAATATCTTAATTTTGCATTTGGATTTTAGGATTTTATCTAAAGAGTTTATTGCATCTACATGGAAATTGGATGGATCGGATCAAAATTATCACTTTCGAAAAATTTCTGATTTTTTCTCTCCGAAATCGGAAAATTTGAAAAGTGGTAGTAGGGATTTCCGGAATTGGAATGCCAAAACACGTTGCGAAATTGAAAATTTTCGGATCGGAATTGGCTAGAATTTGGGAAATTCCAATTATTAGTCACCTATAATATAAAATGCATAATACTATTGAAATTGTAACTATAAGTGTAGCTTTTCGGGAAAAAATCTGAATTTTCGGAAATTAAAATAGTATTGAAAATCGGACTCTAGTATATTTTGCAATTCCAATTAAAATCAAAATCGGATTTTTTGGATTCAGAATGAAAAATATTGTTCCATAATAAGAAAATTTTGGATCGGAATCGGAAATTTCGTTTCAAATTTCCACCCTTCTTTATCAATTTCCCGAATTGATTCGTTTGATCAATGTTTTTCAAATCCTTGTGTGTACATACCTGAATAGTAAGAGTGCCTCGATCTTTCTTGTCTTTGATTTTAAGCATATCGAGCGAAGGAAGCAGCCTTAGCTCGATTTCTTTAGATGTTTCAGCTTCGAGCTCGATCAACGGCAGCTTTGCAACTCCCAATCGCTTGTCATCTCCAATATCTTCATCGAACACCTGTTCGGACAAGACGAAGATTTCATTAAAACCGAATAACAACAAAACGGAAAAAAGTCCCACGGCAATAAAATAAAACCTCCAATATCAGAGACTGCGTCTCTTTATCTTCTGCGATTAACTCGAACATTTCATTCCAAACAGGGTTCAAATTGTTGTCTATAACTTTCGTTTTCACTTTAAACAACGGGCGTATGTGCACAACGACGTAGGGGTCAGATTTTCCGACCAACTCCATGTTTTTCAAATCATTTGCTCTCAAGATAGTTACTGTAAGCTTCCCAACAGGCTTGAGCTCCAAATCACTACAAAAATTCAATCCAATATAATTTATTTATTATATTAAAATTTTAAATTAAAATTAAAAAGAAATTGTAATAAGAAAGCTATGTAGAAAAAAAGTAGTCACCTTATATCTACATTATTGGCAATAGGAACTACAATCCTGTGAGGCCATTGAAGCATGTCTGTTACGATTGAATTTACGGTATCCTTGCGTGCATAAAATTACGGTTCAGTCCAAATCATAAAGAAAAATTCGTTCCACTACGAAGGGAAAAATATCAAAACTTTTACCTCGATCTTATCCGAAAGTCCAGGAAGAGCTGTTAAACTTCCGCCGACGGCTTTTAGAGTATACTCAATTTGTGGCTTTGGCTGCATAACATGAAAAAATTAGATAAATAAAAAAAATTGACAAGCCTTAATCGATCACGAGATTGGAATAAAGGCTTAAGCGATTTAATAAGTGTGCTAAGAAAGAACCTCGGCTAGCAGAGCAACAACAACTGCAGAGATGCAAGGAATTTCGTCTGTAAGTTGGAAAATCGCACGAACTACTGTGAAAACTTGGAGATCCTTCAACTGAAACAAACAAATAAAATTTCGTATTTAGCTCCATATTGCAATTATATATTAAAAAAATAAAAAAATTTAAGATAAAAACATTGTCACCTGAATCGGAATACAAGCAATATGTGCGGCCTGAATGCCTAAAATAATGTTTGGATCACCGCCCCAACGAAGGTCAATATCCATGGTGATTTGACCTTGCTTAAGGCTTTGAACTCGAATACCTGCATGGATCGAGTTATTACATATTCAAAGCGGTAAGAAAACACATCGAATAAGTTATTGCAAGAAAGATATGAAAAAACTAACGATACATTAAAAGATTAAACATATTAACAGCTTGTACCTTCAATTTTAGGAGCCACGGTCCCGAGTGACAATTTGCTGAATTTCAATGAAGTAATCCCTGGTGGTCGATAATCTTCCAGTAATGGTTCAACGGATTCTTTTATGATAACTTCTGCTGCCTGAGACGAGCATTTCAAGAAATTCATTTGACGCGAAACCGATTTTTTTTTA